ACGATTTCTGCTTCTTAGTTCCGCAACGGGGAAAAGTATAAAACGGAAGGGAAAAGAGATACGTGTAAATACATTGAGAAGTACATAGATAGAGATTCGAGTACCGAATAGTATTTTGTCGAGAATGGTCTCACGTTCAGGTGTTTTTTAAGCTGCGTTCCGCGATAAAGTGAAAACAAAGGCAGCGTACGGTCGGTCCGCTTTCGAAGTTCGACCTCTGCAGGGGGGGGATGATTGAAGCGTCAAAAACGGGGGAAAAACATATCACGCCAACGGTGAACGCGCGCGGTCAGTACTTCCGGCTTGATACGGTCGCCGCCGATTGAGTTTCTTGGATGATACGTTGTAAAGCTACTCTGGCGGAGTTTATGCAGGCGTTTTCTTGTGCAATGTGTAATAATAATGTAAATGAAGTAAGCGAATGAGGGCTAAAGGGGGGAAGAAAGGGAAGAGGAGGAGGAAATTTGGAATTTCAAAGAGAAAGAGAGACTGTACTCGTGTCGACGAATAACTACGATGTTTATTATACTTCTCCTTTTCAGTGGTTAAATTGATCGGCTTGTATAAAGTGAGAAAAATGGTTTACTACTAGAATCGGTAGTTGTGCGCCAGAGAGAAGTAATTTCGAAAGAAGTGTCCCTCCTAGCGTTAATGTTTCTATCGACGTGATATATATAATTTTGATGAGGAATAATAAATGGGAGGATTTCCGGACGGTTGCCTTCTCTCGTTCGAATCTTTCGACTGACTAAATATTTCTCTCTCTTTTTTTTTTTTCCTTCTCTTCTAAATCGTGTGTTTAAATCGAGAGACCGCCGTCCGGGAAGAAGGTTCGTGGTTGTAATTATTAACAGAAGAAGGACAAAAAGGAAGGGAAGAGCAAAAGAAATTCATCGATGATGAGTAGTAGGGCTTTATCGACGAGGGGAGAGGGAGAGTCGTTTGTAAAAAGAAACAAAATCGAAGACAAAAAAAGATTTGTGAAAAGAAGAGACGCGAGCGGCAGGAAGGCATAGTTTTTATTCTATATACTTTTGTAATCGGTCGAATTTTCCGAATAGAGAGCGAAAATTTGTACAGTTCGATGCATGAGGAGCAAGACAAAAAAAATTAAGTATATAATAATTGAATTTATCTGTCGATGCGGATGAGGAACATTCTACGGCACGCGAAACATTGACACACGACACACATGCATACGTACATACATACATAAACACATTGTCATCCCATAGACTGATCCCATCGAAGAGAAATAATCAGTCCGGCTATAGGTCATCATCATCATCATCAGCATCATCATTATCATCATCGCGTTGGATTAGCTTCTTCGAGCGAACACGGAGACGAACTCAAACGTACGATGAGAAACGAAGGAACGAAAGAAGAAATGAAACGAAACGGAAAATCTTAGGCCGTATCGTCGCATGTAAACGCACGCATATTTAATTCGAGTCGTTAACGAATCGAACGTCTAAGATTCTTTTTTTCAGGGCACAGTAGTATTCTGGACCTGATTTAAAAGAAAGAAAAAAAGAGAGAGAGGGAGAGGAAGTGAAGAAAAAGGGGTTTTTTTCAAAGAGAATTTTGCACCAGTGCGACTCGACTTCTGCCGCGTGAAACGGCGTGGAAAGAAAACTACACAAGAGAATTGTCTTGGTGGCGTTGCTATACATATATACATTAAGGCAAAAACATGAATTGAATATTGTTCCTGTGAGAAGTCGAGTACGCACCGGAGGGAATTGTCTCAGCTGGAAGTCTCTTAAGGATGTACCCTAAACGTACAACTTAGTGTACGTCCAAAGCCATAGTGCCTACACAATAATGATCACACCCTGCAAAACTGTAAATAATTTACATACTATACAAAATATATGAATATATATATATTATATATATATATACATACACACAAGACAGGCGAAATTTAAGGACGTGACGACCCCCGATGGACAAAGAGTAATCGAGAGAGAAGGATAGAAAAAGAAAGAAGGAAATACAAGATGCTGCGGAGACACCTCATTGCGATTATCACGAGATATCGATTAGTTAGTTTTAATTACGATTAATAATTAATTATTGAAGCATTACACGAGGAAAACGTTAGTTTATAAATGGACTTATCATATATACATACATGTATACATATGTGTATGTACATATAATAAGTACGTACGTTTTATAGTCAAACGAATTTTGTGCAGAATAACGGTAAGGATTTCCGTTAATTCGAAATACTTAGGAATGCGTAGTCTCTTTTAAAATATAGAATATGTTAGGTGATATCGATGAATGAGTATAATATAATTTGAGGATGAACGAAAATTGTTTCGTCCCGTCACGTGTATTTATTTCAACGAATATCGCTCATTTTAGAGGGGGGAAAGAATTGAGGACGATTTTGCCGGAAACGAATTTTTTTGTTTCTTTCCGTCGTCGTCGTCGTCGTTCCGTCGTGTCGATAATAAAATAAGGGAAAAAATCCTGGAACGTTTATTCTGCACAACGATTCGACAAGCGCAATACCTATCTGCAACAGAGAGGGTTGTATACTAGTTTTGTTTTTCGTTTTCCTTTTTTTTCCGATAAAACTGGTGGCATCGCGCTTTTTTCTCATACGCATTGTGCAACGAGAGAGGGGAAGCAAAAACGGGAGAAACAGAGGGAAAAAAAGAGAAAGAAAAACTATACAGAGGAAAAAAAGAGAATCGAGAGTGTGTGAAAAAAAACGTGTGTGTGAGTGACGTGATGATCGAATGATAATGATTAATTGATACGAATGTTCGATGGTCGACGGTTCGATTTCGATCCCGACACACCAGTGAGAAGTTACGATATTTTCTACCTGAATGTTTGCGGGGATTCCGGACGGAGTCTGAGCGCGGACGGGACTTTAAATAAGTGTACATGATAGTTCATCGATATATTGTATATTTTACTCTGTTCGAAGAGTATGTTGTAAGAAAGACACATCAATCGTGTGAAATAGTGGAGGAAGAAAGAAAGGGAAGAAAACATATGTGAAAACTACGAAGTACGATCGTGTTCCGACGTACTCAGACTTTTCGGGGATCTTTTTATAATAACTTATCGCGAAGATGGCAGTCCATCAGTTTTCATTTTTAAACCCGATTATTCGCGAGAAATCTCTGACCCGCGCTTCTGGCAGTCTGTCGAATAGACGCTTCTCATATTTTTACAACGACAGAGCCATTCTTTCCATACTTTTCGTTTACGTTTCAGCGGGATTTTTATGATCTTTACTTAACGCGATAACCACGCGACACCAAGCATCGAAAAT